GTTTCAATCCCTACTGGATAGCTTTCATAGTGCTGTAGAGTTCTATGCACACTATCAGGGGAGAAAACCATCAATAATCTGACCTAGGTATGAATCCTGCCAGCTACATAATGACTGGCCTGGCAAGATACGCCCACTCAGGCAAGTGCGGCATGAAGTATGGAAGCAACCAAATACTTTCTGCTTGGACTTAAAGCCCACTCCACAAAATGGAACCCATGACTGGCACCAGTAGCTGAGTCAAAAACATGTCACTGGCTGAATCATTGGCCCTACAGAAGAACCTAATATTACTAAGCTGCTAAATAGACACAGTAATAAACGTTTAACCCCCTTATCTTTATACCTGTGTATTAGTGCATTTCTCAACTCTCAGCAGAGAATCTTCTTTTTGCAGTAAATGGAAATTAATATAGAGACCCACATAAAAGGGGGCATAAAGATTTTAAGAGTCAGGAGAAGATACATCTTGAGCAAAGCACTGTGTGCCCGACATGATGGTACAGCTGCACACATGAACTCACAGCTGTGGATGTATGCACAAGACTTTAACAAGACTAGCCTAAATCCAGCATGGTGGGGAAGGGGCTAAGGAAGCCCCACCCCTATCTGAGAAGTTACTGGCAACTGCTGGCTGAGAAGGGGAGAGTCTTCAGGGGCATGGGTCCTGGGAGGCTGCTCTTGTTCCAATAGATAGTCCCACACCCATGCACATGCAAGCAGCACTCAATGGATTCAATGGGTGGGGTGACTTGAACGAGAAATGTACCCCACAATCTCGGGCATTTGAACACTTAGTCCCCATTTGGTAGCGCTGTTTGGGAGGTTTGAGTGGTACGCCCTTGCTGGAGGAGGAAGTATGTTACGGGGGGGGGGGGGGGGTGAGCTTGGAGAGTGAAAAGCCTCTTGACTGCGCTCGCTACTCCATGCTTACAGTAAAGTGTGAGCCCTCAGCATCCTGTCCCAGCCACCATGCCTGCCCCTTCTTCCCATGCCTCCACTCCAGCATCATGAACTCGTAACCCCTCTGGAGCCGCACTCAAGTCTCTCTTCCTCAAGTGCCCTTTGGTCATGCTGTTTTATCACAGCAACAGAAAGGAACTACGACAGTGGTTATTAAATCTTCTTTTAAAAAGACAGAAACACATAAAGTTGGGGAAGAAAAGTTTGCTGGATAGGGGAAGGGCGGGAGGGGAGGGAATGGGTTTGGATTTGATCAAAACACATTATATTCATTTATGAATATTGAATATTTTTAAAGAAAACTACTGAGCTAAACAGTTTGATCCATGTGCTAGTGTCCATTTCTCAAATGAAATTCTTGTAACTTTTGATATGAGATGACTCCATACCACACACAGATCCATGTACACACGTTACTTTCAGTTCAGACCATCAGAGATGCTGAGGCAAAGGGGCTTTGAGGTAAATGTGCTAAGGTGGCCTGGTCCCCAGGTATCCCTGGCCATCGCTGCTCAGGCTGATCAGCACATCACTGGGGTCTGGATATCTCCAGGTGCATAGTGGGGCCAGGAATCCCCATTTACCATTCTTTCATCCATCCTCCCGAGACTCTGACTCCCCCAAACTGAAACCCTTTTTGTTTCATTCTGGTGAACCCTCACCTGAGCCAGTAAAGCATGCAAGGCCTGGGGAGACTTATCCTATGGTAAATGTGTGCTATCAAAGGGACCAGACTGGGACCAATCCTAGAGCAGGTGTTTGTCAGAATTGGGGGCATTTGGACTCTGAAGATTAGAAAAAATGGACTAAAGAAGCATTGCCTTGAGTTAGATATGAAGGTGAGTGACCTCAGATCATCCTGGCTGGATGACTAAATGAAGTTTGTGACAGAAGGGTGTGACACCTTGAGCTAAATCAGGGGCGTATGGGCACAGCTAAAAAAGAAGGGCCTTTGAGATGCAGAGACAGAATAAATACAAATGCCCTTCAGTCTGTGCTAGGGAGGCTGCATGTGTGGTGAGAAGCCCTCTCATGACAGACACTGGAGAACCTTCTGGACGGTCAGGTTCAAGACAACAATATTACTCACTTTAAACAGACAGAATCCAGAATAAATGTGCAGCGAAATCCTCCATGACTCCAAGCGATTCAATACCCTGGAATCCTCTGCAGTAGATCACAACATGGCCCACATCTGGGTGTGCAGATTTGTAGAGAACCAGTTTATTTAAAAAAAAAAAAAAAAAGGTTGTAAAGTACAGAGGACTGTGGTGTAACAAGCAGTCAACTGTCTCACCAGTGGTGAGAAAATGCAACTGCCCTCCCTCCTTGTCAGAAGAGCGGAGCATTTACTGGTGCTCTCTGCCCTCTTCACCACTGCGGAGAAGGGAGAGGAATGGTCAGGAAGACCCCTTACGGCAGGAGTTGATGGCTGGTCAACTTCTACAGATGTAGAGGGAACAGTGTTGTGTTGAATTGTTTTTTCACTCCAAGCCCAATTCGTGTATTAAAGCTCTGATGATGTGACTGTATTTGGAGACAGAACATTTAAAGAGGCCCAAAAGTTTATAAGGTGTGGTCCTAATCCAATATGAAGTATCCTTATAAGACTGGAAAGTCTGGACACAGTGGCACATACTTGTAACCCAGCACTGGGGGGTGCAGGTAAAAGAATCAGGTTCAAGGCCAGTTTGGGCTACATAGTGAGTTCAGGACCTTCCTGGGCTGCATGAGACCCTGTTTCAAAAAAAGAATGAAGGTAGGAAGGTTTGGGGTTTGGGGGAAGAATGGAGAAAAGGAGGAGAAAGAACCAGGGAAGTACTATGAGAACCCTAGTGAATACAGAGTTTTGAACCAAGAGCAGGCTATAGGCATAACCATTAAAAATGTCTTAGTAGCTCGGAACTGTATAACATGTGGCAGCTAGACCTGTTTGAGATGCAGGTGTAAGGTGATCCTGATGAGGTCTCAGGAATCAGGCACACCTAATTAAATTAATTAAATTTTGGTATTAAAACTGGTATCCTTGCTATATAGTGACAAGGAACTTGGCTGAACTGAATCCCAGTGTTTTGCAGAACGGAGTGTTTATTGTCGTTATGATTGAGGGTGCGCACTACCACAGCACATAAGTGGAGGTCAGAGGATAAATGTGTGGAGATGGTTCTCTCCTTCTGTGTGGATTCCAGGAATCAAACTCAGGTCCTCAGGCTTCTGTGGCAAATGCCTGTACCTGCTGAGCAATCTTGTTGGCCCCAAATGGAGGTATTTTAAGCAATGTAAGTACAAAATACTCACATGAGATTTCCACATGGATGACCAAACTATGGCCTTATTTGCCCTTGCTGCATAAGGACAGAGATAAATTGAGGGGATTGTTGAGGGAAAAAAAAAAAAGATTAGAACTTTAAAATTTGGAAAATTCTCCCCATATTCATATAGTTTTTTTAAAGCTATGATAGTGTGTTTGGGAGGGAACAGTAGGCGGCTAGAAACCATTTCTAAAGAGATTAGTGTGAGTGTGAGCCACAGAGTCCGTCAGCCATCTCATCCAGCACTCTCTGGCCTGGGTGGACAAGGAAAGAGACCGGGGCAAAACCAAGACAGCCTGCAGGGCTTCTGAGAGTCTAAAGAAGGTATTAGTGCGGCGCCAAGTCACGAGCATGTGTTCATCCTCAAGAAACGGGAAGAGTGTCAGGAGGCGGTGGCGCACACCTTTAATCCCAGCACTTGGAGGCAGAGGCAAGCGGATCTCTGTGAGTTCAAGGCCAGCCTGGTCTACAGAGTGAGTTCCAGGATAGGCAGGGCTACACAGAGAAACCCTGTCTCAAAAAACCAAAAATTTTTTTAAAAAATTAAAAAACGGAAAAAGAAGAGTTCACACCCTTGGGGGAGGCAGAGGCAGGTGGATCTCTGTGAGTTTAAGGCCAGCCTGGTGAAGAAAG